CTGGTCACCTGAACGACTGGTCACCTGAACGACTGGTCACCTGAACGACTGACTGCAGTTTGTGTTCAGATGAGCAAACGAGCTGATTAAAACAGCTGAAATGCTCTTTAACATGTTTCAGTTCAGTTTTCTGAGAACTCATCGAGTCCTGCAGCTCAGACGGAGGATCAGAGACGCTGAGACATTAAAACATCTTTTCAACGAGTCGTGAACATCATAAAAACGAGCTGCGCGCGCTGGCATCTGCCGCTGCACCTCAGGCCGCAATGCATTATGGTCCGTCTCTACTGACTTTGTACATTCGTTAAAAAGTCTCGGAGCAGATTTTACGATGACGAGGCGGCTCTGCCCAGAAAATGAGAAGAGAGACAGATCTGAATAAAGTGAGGATCTGGATGTTTCTTGGACTGACCTGGACCTGCCGTCCTCGGCTGTGGACACCTCGTCCTCAGCTGCTGCGAGACTCTCCGGTTCTCCGGGTCGATCCGGTTCTCCTTCACCCCCGTCAGAGGTTGGTTCCATCACTGCGGCTGCAGTTTGACTGGATAAGAGCACAGACGAATCAGTGTTCCTCAAAGTCCCATTTCCTGTCTCCAGTCCGTCCCCTCTGACCTGGGGACACGGTCTCAGTCCTCCAGGATCTCCTCCCTCTGTGGGAGACAGCTGCCCGTCCTCCCTCCTCTCTTCCCACGGTTGTTGCAGCGCAGAGTGAATCAACTCCAGGGTGGTCGTCACTGCTGTCCTGTTGGGCGTGTCCTGTTCTGTGGATTCCTCGTGGACCAGGGGGGGTGTGACGGTACCAGCAGGATGGGGACCAGAACCGGTGCTGGACTCTAACTGGACCGCCAGCAGCTGCTGCTGCTGTCTGAGCTGCTGCAGCTGCTCCAGACGCTGCGCTCGCAGCTGCTGGATGGCGTGCTGCAGGATCTCCATGTCGGCGGTGTCCGGGACGATCTGGTCGGACACGTGGAGCTGAGGGGACGGGGTGGAGGACGGCTGGGGAAGGAGCTCCTGGGGTTGGCTGGAGAAGGAGATGGGATGGATGTTCTCAGAGAAGGTGGAGGGACTGTAGCCAGGGACGAAGTCCTGATGGTTCCCCTGCTCGCCGAGACCTGAGGACAGACGAGACAACTGAGTTACGACAGCAGGACACAGAGACACTTTACAGGACCTGGGGGTGCAAAAATCATCTAAAGCGGTCCGGTCCAGATACTTTAATGTCTCGTATACTTTATTTATATTGTCCAGTGTAAAAGCTTAAAAATAGACCTTAAAAAGTGAATAAGTCTAAATTCAGCTGGAGACAGGAACACCTTTTAAAATCAAGCGTTGGTTTATTTTCTTTGCAGCAAAGGAGAGCTCGTTCTTGTCAGGAGCCTTAAAGCAGACTGAGCCTGGTCAAGAAGGAAGTCTGGACACAAAGGGGAGGTGTGCACATTTTATATCCTGTGGGTGGATACATCATTACGTGTAAAAATGAACAGCAGCTTCTTCAGTCATCTTATCAGAAAGTGTTTGCTAGGCAGTTACAAAGGTCAACGGCTGACGAGTTGTTCCTCTGTGGATGGAACATTCTGGAACATCTGGACACTTGTACTTTGTGACATTTAAAATCAGACAGTTTCAGTTGAACAGTGGGCATCATTTTCTCACAGGTCAGATAAGCTTTTAATAACATGTTATTTCATTTTGGTTGGAACACTTGGGTGCATCACTTCTGTAGAACAATGTGACAATTTGCTCGCTAAGGCAGTTTCTCATGAGGCGTGTTTCCTGTTTTTCTGCAGATGTTTCCTGTGGCCGAGGTGCTTGGAACAAGGCTGACACAGTTCGTCCAGGAGGCATCTTGAGGACCTTGAGTTCATATAACTTCAGCTCACAATGCATTAAACATTAAACATTTTATCATCAACCAAAAAGTGTATGATTATTTTATTTTTCTAACACCAGTCAGCTGAAGACAAATACAACTCCATCTGTCTGTTCCTGTCTCAGATCCTGACTTTAGACCACGTGCACATTATTCACATGCACATTCATCAGGAGTGACGCAGAAGATAAAACAGTGGGTTGTCTTTAGATTTACAGGACTGTCAATAAAAATGAAGCCGTGTGAGGATGAACGTGTTCACTCGTGTTCGTCAGGAACAGACATCTCCACGCACCGAGACGCAACGACAAATAAAAACTCCCCTCAGCTGCTAAACTTACACAAATATTCATCACAGCTGTTCGAGTGAACTCGTTTTGGTTGAAGACGTTAAACACGTCAGCCGAAGCTTCAACAAACAAAAGACCAAACGGATAAAGATGCGTCCATTTTTGTTTTTTGAATAAAAACGGGAACGTTTTAAATCATCAGAACTGACCTTTGGGGGCGAGTAGATCTTCTACCAGTAACTGTTTGTCTCTGACGTTGTGGCACCCGACGAGTCGGCTGAAGTTCTGCAGAACATCGTTAATGCTGGCCACGATGATGCCTCCACTGGAGAAGGCAGGGAACTTCTCAAAGTGGTGCTCTGAGGGGAAACAAAGTAACGAGCTGTAAATAGAAACATGGATGCAGATTTAATCCGAGTTCTTTTTCTCCAGCTTCAGTCCTGCCGACGTTCTGCACGTTCTCTCTGAACACTTGTTTAATTTTCTGGCACAGAAAGAAACATTGTTCAGTTTGATGTGTTACTTTTGGGATTGTCATTTATTCCCAACAAGCACAAAAATGATTTTAAAACGGCATAAAATTTGTCATCTGAAAGAATTTCGTCATCTGTAAACCATCGTATTATCTAGTTTTGTAGATCTTTGTCTGTGCAGACTTTAGAACTTGTTTTACACACCAGATATGAGCGCATGGACACCTCAGTTATTAATGTAAGAAGAAATGTGTAAAAACATTCAGGACAGAGTCGGTGTTCAACACCGGACACATCACCCACTTATACGCACACACACGCACACACACACACACACATATCATGAATCATGAATGTAGTACTCTCTACCACCTTGTTTATGTGCACATTCTCTCTGTCTGTTTGTCTGTCTCTATCTGTCTGTCCGTCTCTCTGTCTGTCTGTCCGTTCCTCTGTCTCTGTCTGTCTGTCTGTATCTGTCTCTGTCTGTCTCTATCTGTCTGTCTGTCTGTCTGTCTCTATCTGTCTCTGTCTGTCTGTCTCTATCTGTCTGTCCGTCTCTCGGTTCCTCTGTCTCTGTCTGTCTGTCTCTATCTGTCTGTCTGTCTGTCTGTCTGTCTCTGTCTGTCTGTCTGTCCGTCTCTCCGTTCCTCTGTCTCTGTCTGTCTGTCTCTATGTCTCTCTGTCTCTGTCTGTCCGTTCCTCTGTCTCTATCTGTCTGTCTGTCTCTATCTGTCTGTCCATCCCTCTGTCTCTGTCTGTCTGTCTGTCCATTCCTGTCTCTGTCTGTCTGTCTGTCTCTGTCTGTCTGTCCGTCTCTCTGTCTCTGTCTGTCTGTCCGTTCCTCTGTCTCTGTCTGTCTGTCTGTCTGCCTGTCTCTGTCTGTCTGTCTCTATCTGTCTGTCTCTCTCTGTCTGTCTGTCCATTCCTCTGTCTCTCTGTCTCTCTGTCTGTCTGTCTGTCTGTCTCTGTCTGTCCGTCTCTCTCTGTCTGTCTGTCCATTCCTCTGTCTCTGTCTCTCTGTCTGTCTGTCTGTCTGTCTCTGTCTGTCTCTGTCTGTCTGTCTGTCCACATAACTTTGGTTAAAATAAGCTGAAATATATTTTGACAGAATTAAAACATTAAAAACAAAACAACAAGACTTCTGTTCTGAACTCATCAAACCTCCTGGATGGGAAGTGAAACCTGAGCTTCAGAACTAAAGTCCGGTTGTTTTTTACTTTCTTGGACTGACCATGATCTGCATGACGACACGTTAAAAGACTCTTTAACAAACATCGCTGAACGCGGTGAAGCGTCGGCGCAGAAGACGTACCAGTGAGGTAGATGGTGTGTCTGAACTGGGTGTACCGGGCCTGGAGCTCGATGAGACAGTCCAGGTCAGGGGACGGATGGTTCGTCATGTCGCAGTGATGATACGGGAGGAACTCTACGATCTGACGCTTCTGGTAGGTCAGCAGGACATCCAGCAGGTTCGCTGCGTCTTTTCTGAACCTGACGACCAAACAAACAAGACTTTAATAAACGTCAGAGCGTTCCCTGAGCTCGGTTGAATCCTTCGTCATTAAAATCAATTATCGGTAGTTTGGTGCATAACTCGAACAGATTCACTACCTGGCTTGTTCTTTCAGCTTCTTGTGGGTTTTGCAGTGAACCTTCCACCTCCAAACGCTCTCTGGAGAACTGTTCTTCTCCAGGAGCATCAGCAAAGCGGAGAGTCCGTCTGCAGAGCAACAACACGTCAGATAAACGCTGATCGCTCTAAAATGTGATCAGAAAACAAAACATTTTTAATTTGCACAGCCTAGTTTTTATTTGTGACCCACCGTGAGTGATGATGTCCGGACTGAGGACCAGCTCGTCTGAGACGATGCAGCCTCCAGAGACAAACAGCTCGATGCAGCTGTTGTTCCTGATGTCGTCCAGCGAGTCGATGCCCACAAACACCACAGAGGAGTGCCGCTTCAACGACACGAGGCCTGGGATCTGACCGGAGCACAAACAAACAGGTGGAATTTTGTTTTACACGCAGAGCGAGTGAAAAGCTGCGACTTTGTCCAGGTGGTCTGGTTTCAGCAGCGTGACGGGGAACACCGAGTCTTCGGCTATCCTGATAAGTAACTATCCTAAGTAAGCACTACAAGAGTTCAGCGTACGACGCATTATTCGCCCGTCAACAAAATATTATGCAGCGATGGTCTGGACAAGCACAGACCTTTTGGTTACCAAGATAACCCTGGTTCTCTGAGGACTGAGCAAGATATCGCACCATGACAGCACCTTCTAATATATCTGTTTCAACGCCTAGTTCCTGTGGTGTCCCACAGGGATCGATTCTTGGACCCCTTCTGTTTTCGCTCTATCTGGTCCCTCTGGGGTCTATCCTGAGGAAACATGGTCTTTCATTTCATTGTTATGCTGATGATTGTCAGATTTACCTGCCCTTAAATCCAACTAGTTATCGCTCCATTCACCCTCTGTTAAAATGTCTGGACGACATTAAGGCAATGATGGCTGCGATTTTTTAAGTTTTAACGATTAGAAGACTGACGTCATTGTGTTTAGCACTAGCTCAATTGCCATCTCTGATCTTGTAAACCTGGCCTCCCTTCAATCTAAGCTTAAACGGTCTGTTACGAATCTCTGGATGGTTTTAGACTCAGACTTTAAGCTTGATAAACAGATCAACTCTGTTCTGAAGAAAAGTAGGTTTGAGCATAATTCACCAGTTTTGTCCTCCCTTCACTGGCTCCCTGTACGTACAAGAATTGATTTTAAAATTCTCCTGCTAACCTTCAAGTGCCTTACACCCTCATACCTCTCTGAGCTACTGGAACCATATGTTCCCTCTCAGGCGCTGAGATCATCTGATCAGCTGCTTTTGGCTTTTCCAAAAACTAAACTGAAGCTCAGAGGAGATCAGGATTTTTCAGTCATGGGCCCCAAACTTAGGAACAATCTGCCCCAACATTAAGCAGGCCATTTCACTTCCTGTTTTTAAATCTCTGCTAAAAACTCATACGTTTTCTCTGGTATTTCACACAGCGTGAGTTGATTTAGTATTTTTTGTTCTTGTGTTTTTATGTTTGTTCTTTGATGCTTTTAATAAATTTTTCTGTACCATCATTAATTTTATTTTTTCCATTAATTTACTCTCATTGATCTTATTGTTAAGCACTTTGGTAACAGCTGCTGTTTAAAATGTGCTTTATAAATAAAGCTGACTTGACTTCAGGCGTGACCATCATGGAAGCTCCAATACCACCACGTCTGTCCCCGACAGACCAATGCATGTTTGGCACGGGGGCACCTTCCCCCTTTAGAAGCGCCCCTGTCCTACACTTGGCATCTTCACGTGCATTTCTTCCACGTGACCATGCAAGCAGGGCAGTGCGGTGAGATACCTCACCCAGTTCTCAGAGAACCAGGGTTACCTTTGTAACAAGTTCTCTTTCAAACCGCGCTCGGTACAGTGATCCCTCACCTAAAGCAGAGGTTACGTTCCAGAGACCCCTGCGATATTTGATGTCCAAGTTCAGGTGGTGTTTGTGTTCCTGAATTTTTGTTATGAATCTTATTATATTATGGCTGAGAACATGTTTCTGTAATGTGTGCACAAAACCTTCTCTTGTTTCGGCCTGAAGGCCATTTCACCGACTCGCAGTGCCTCACTGGTGTCGATGCCACGAGAACCTAAACAAAACATTCTCTCAGCTCCATCTGGAGGCCGACTAGCCGACGCCCATGGATCATGTCTGTGCATCTGACTGCAGCTGCCTGCTGGACTCTGCTGCTGGATAAAGTTCTGCAGCAAACTGACGCTCATTCAGTGACATGATCCATGCACTGTGCATCTATGCATGTACCGTATTTTTCGCCCTACAAGTCGCAGTTTTTTGCATAATTTACATGCCCTGCGAAGCGACGTATTTATGGATTTTTTTCTCATATTTTAAACCAATTTTTGGCTGAGATATGACCGTTTTCATTCATTCTGACTGAAAATATTGAACACTATCGTTTTCAGCCGCTAGATGGCACTTGAGTAGTATGGCATGCCGTTGTATCATGTAATAGGTAAAAGTGGCTATTAATACCATACCATACCAATTTATTTATATAGCACTTAAAACAGCAACAAGGCCAACCAAAGTGCTGTACAAAAGAACCAAACATGCACAGCAGACAGGAAAACATAAAATAGAAATACAGATACAAATAGCAGCAGAAGCTAACTAAAATGGCCAACAGAGTAGAGAACAGACCGGACCAAAACAAATCACACCGTGTTAAAGGCAAGCGAATAGAAGTGGGTCTTCAAGCGAGACTTAAAGACTGAGAGTGTGGGAGCCTGCCGGACACTCAGTGGCAACTCATTCCACAGTCGTGGACCTGCAACAGAGAAAGCCCTGTCACCTCTGAGCTTACGACGGGTTTCTGGAACTGAGAGAAGCATCTGGTCTGCTGACCTCAGAGAGCGCGGTGGGACATAAAAAAGGAATGACACAATTAATGACACAATCGGCTTGCCATAGCCTGCCACCTTTGTCTGCCTGGAGCAACCATCAAATCAGCTTCATTTCGCTGCACCGCCCCAGTGAAATGCAGCTGATTTGACCATTAAAGTGCATTTATTAAGTAAAAGTTCAACTGAGACACAACTTTACTATAATGATGGGCAAACAAATAATTGTTTTTAAGTGTTAATCTTGTTAAAGTCCTTCCGTGCACGCTTCCGCGGCCGCCATTTGGCAGCCAATCGATTTTTGGCACAACACTGGCCCAAATTTCCAGGTTGTCAGTGGTGACGTGTAATAGATGCGACTTATACGGCGAAGCGATGTATTTATGGGTTTTTCCACTTTATTAGAAATATCTGGAGTGATGCCACTTATAGGCTGGTGCGACGTTTACGGCGGAAAATATGGTAATCTGTCTGAATGAGTCCTTGCAGGTAAAATCTCCCGTCATCGAGTGCGGTTGTTTTATTTAAGTTAATAAGAGGATCATTTTTATCCAACAGTTCGGACCTTTAATGGTCAGAGGATCTCCATTAAAACACGAAGAAATACCTTGTGAATGTGTCCGGCTGTGTCTTTGTTCTTAATGATAACCAGGAGAACGTTTTCGGAGTTCTCATTGTCTAGAAAGTCGACAGGACTCTGCTGCACGTTACCCAGATTCAGAAGATATTCCTGGAACACAACATACACAAGCAGTTAAAACAATGATTAATCACCAGATTCATGGTGTGCTCATCACATTCTTTAGCATTTATCTTTGTTCGTGGTGTTAAACCGCCTCTGCTTTCAGGAATAAACGACACCTGTCATTTTACCTTGACCTCTTCGTAGACCGGGTCCCCTGGCACCGCGCAGTGGACGTAGAACTGCGGGGACTTTCTTTTAATGTCTTTGGCGATTTCCACCAGGTTGTTCAGCACGTCCGGATTCAGCTGGTTGATGACGGAGCTCAGGTCTGTGGTTGAAGGAACGGGTTCTGAATCGGTATCCTGGACGAGAGCAGAGCTCGGGCTGGAGACGGGCTCAAAGGACAGGGAGGGTTCTGTCTGGCTGTTAGAAGCGTGGTTGTATCCGGGGACTGTCACGATGCAGTTTGCACCTGCAGGACTCTCCTCACCTTCAGCAGTGCAGACGACGGTTCTTACCGTGCCGTTCTCTTGAGCTTCAGTGACGCTCTGAGTAATCGTTCTGTTGATCTCTAAAGCGTCTTCAGGTGTGTAGGTGGAACCAAACACAGAGTCAGGCTCAGAGACAGACCGGTGAGGAGACAGGGGTGTCCAGGGTGTATCCTCCGGCTGGCAGACTTCACCTACTCTGGAGAACACAGAAGCCTGACTGACAGAAAGTTCGACGCCAGCGGCTGGTCCAGCACGGACAGGAAACGCCTCCTCGTTCCTTCCCGTTTCAGAACTCTCCGCTCTGAAGCTGGCCACAAAGTCACTGATACTTTGAGCCAAAGTCTCGTCGGGATCATTGTGGCTGGTGTCAGCCTGGTGCTTCGGCCAGCTCCCATCCAACTCTCTCAGCATGCAGCTGATGCCGTCCTTCAGAGAGCTCATGTAGTCCTGCACCGGGGGGCAGGGGTTGTAGAAGGACACATAATGTGAAAATGGAGACAGTGATGCGTACGGGAGCATGTGCTGGTGTCTGGAGGTCTGTAAAGCGTGAGAGATCTGAGGGAGGCTGCAGTTACCGCTCTCCTCCTGCAGGAGGAGCTCTATGTCGGAGGCAAAGTCTCCCAAATGTTTGTCCACGATGCTGTCGATGTCTCTGACAGGACAAGCTGTGCTTGAGGAGACAGAGGGAGAAAATGCAGCTCCTCCTCCCAGCTCCTGCATCCCTCCTTTCCTTTTCTGTTCACTGTCTATTAACATTTCCTCCTCCTCCCTCTTAATCTGCTTAAACACAACAGGCTCTTTTTTTATTTGCTTCTTCTCATGTGGCTGAGTTTCTGAACTTTTAGCTTTAACCTCCACCTGCTCCGGCTCCATGACCTGGTCAGTGGGTGGGGGTGAAGGAGTGCTCCTCTGCTCTGGAGCTGGAGCATGATGCTGATCCACGAGTGCAGAAACAGGCACGGAGTGCTCCTCCTTCTTGATCGCTCTCCTCTGAGGCTTCATTTCTGTTGCATCAGACGCTCCTGCAGAAGACGGACATTAAAAATAAACACAGCAGACTGCCAACATCGGCAGCTTGTAGCCTGAAAACGTATCAAGTTAAAAACTTGTACAACAGCTGAGCTGAAGTGAATAACCTGCTTTTAGACAGATGATGTTTAGGGTAAAAGAAAAATGTATAAAATGTAAATAAAACAGAATGCAATGATTTGCAAATCTCATAAACCCATTTTATACAAAATACAGTAAACATTTCAAATGTTGAAACGGAGAAATTAAAACTTTTTTGGTTTAAAACAAACAACTAAATTTAGAATTTTATGCACATGTCAAAGACGGGACAGGTCCATATACTCTGTGAAGCAGCTCTGATCTTTTAAAACAGTCTGTAAACGTAGAGATCAGCTGATGGAGATTTTGATGGGAACGTCTCACTCTGGTCAGACTGAGGATTTTAACAGTTCAACAGATTCTTCAAATCATTCGATGACGTTATGAATCGTAGATGACGAGATTCAACCACTGAGGAAAATTATTCTGAAGTTATTTCACTGTTTTCCAACAGACTGGTGAACCTCTTCCCATCTTTACATCTGAGAGATTCCTGTTTTTAAGCATTCCACCTTTTGTTGCCTTTGAACAACCGTTTTGAGATGTGTTGCTGCTGATGATGTGTTGATGAAATATGGTTCTGAGATTTCCAAACCATTGCATTCTGGTTTTTTAGGAGCATTTGACACAACATCCCAACATTTTTTAATTTGAGGTTGTACAAAGTCCTGTTTTCAAACTTTGAGTTGGAAAACAAACTCATGGGAGAGGAGAGACTACTGCTCATCACCTCAGTTCACATGACGTTACCTTGAAACTCCTTGAGGACTGCGGAGGCCAACTGTGGCTTGTTAGCACCACCGTGGTTTGTGTTGAAAGGGTTTGGCTCAGGACGCTCCAGGGACTGGCACTGGGTGGGTTTTGGAGGGCTGGTTTCAGGTGACGGATACTCGGCAGGAGAATCGGGGGGGCTGGGGTCAGGAGATGGACACGGTGAAGGTGAAACCGGTGGACTGGGGTCAGGGGATGGACACTGAGAGGGTGAAGGAAGGCTGGGGTCAGGAGATGGACAATGAGAGGGTGAAGGAGGTGGACTGGGGGCAGGGGGTGAGTGCTGGGTGGCGGAGGGAGGCAGGCTGAGCTCAGGAGACGAGGCGGGGCTCTTCTTAGGAGGTTCGGTTGTTGTGATGCTTGTTGCCGTAGTGTGGTGCTGGAAACGGGGATCCTGAGGGATGTTCCTGTTTCTCTGAAAATACCTCCCAGACGGCAAACCTGCAGAAAGTCAAACTCAAGTTTTACCCCGATCACACCTGAGGCAAGCGGTCTGATCCAAATCCTCACACTTTGAAAGGTTTTCTCTTTTTTACACCAGAAATGTCATTTAACTGCATTTAAACTAGACGTGAGAAAAAAAAAAAAAGAATAAAGAATACAAATAACAAAGCTCCTCATTATAAACTATAAAACATGAAAAGGCTTTTCTGAACTGTATCAAACTGTCGTTTGAAAGAGTTTACACTAGTAGTTTTTCAGGTATATATGAAATAATATATGATGGCACTCCATGTAAACAAAGCACTTGACTGAATCTACTAAAAACCACAAGGTTGGGTGAACTTTGGCAGTTTGTCAACAAATCTGGCCGGTAAGCTGAATACTGTTTCTTCTTTTCTTTAATACACTTTATATTATTGCTATTTTTGGGAGTAACTGGACCTTAAGTAGACCATTTTGTTCCACCTCATGTGATGCGAACGACAATAAAGTCATCTTGAACCTTGACTGACCTATTTTCAGTCACTTCGGATGTTTCCGTAGGTAAACAAACACGTGGCAGTAGGCATGTGGTCACATATTTTGCTTACAAATGTTAAATTTAAGGACACACTGATAAGTTGATTGTGGTCTACGTGACTGATCATCTTTAAAAACACAGAAGACGGATGATTTGAGAAAGGCATAAAGAAATCGCTTGTGTCAAATGGGAGGCCATAAGCAGAGGAGGTGGTCTCAGGTTTCACGTCTTTTCTAATCCCCAGACACAATCCAACCCCCCGGCAGTTCCACACCTTACTGCATGTGGACATCTCACATGTAGTCCATGCCAACAAAGACCCTAATGACCCTCAGGAGGGACGGGAGGGAGACGGGTATAAAATAAAAGTTCTAAAACTCAAAATTTGTGAGCCTGGAATTGCACAACTTCCAGTTTGGTCTGACAAATTTCCTCAGAGAAGTCAAAGAATAAAACGAGTCCAGGTGACTTACGAAGATGGTGAACCTTCACCTGCAGACTTCCTCTGTGTGTACAGTATTCATTCTTATTTATTGCGATTTGTAGAACAACTTGTATGTGGAGTGGTATCAAACTTGAACGGTCATGTGGACATCTGTTAGATGAGCTGTAGGTTCTGATGTGCAGATGGTTAATTAGGCACACCTGTTATGGGGATAAGGACCCACGGGATGTCCCAGTCTTTCTCCTCCTCTTCATTAGCTGCTTCTTTCCACCCAGACCTTCCTCCTCGATCCGGTGCACTGTAGTGATTTGTGTCCCCGCTGTGGGAACTGGGACTAAATCCCTCTGAACTGCTGACGCTGGCCGCCGTCTGCTCCTACACACAAAGACAAACGTACGTGTACGAGTTTAAAATAAATAACATATTTTTTGCTGTATAAGTTGCAGTTTTTTTGCATAATTTACATGCCCTGCAACTTATACGCCGATGCGACGTATTTATAGATTTTTTCTCATATTTTAAACCATTTTTTGCTGAGATATGACCGTTTTCATTCTTTATGACTGAAAATACTGAACACTACCATTTTCAGCCACTAAATGGTAGTCGAGCAGTTTAGCGTGCCATTGTGTCATTTAATAGGTAAAAGTGGTTATTAATGACACAATTGGCTTGCCATAGCCTGCCACCATCAAATCAGTTTCATTTTGCTGCGCTGTCCCGGCGAAATGCAGCTGATTTGACCATTGAAGTGCAATTTTTAAGTAAAAGTTTAACTGAAACACATTTACTATAAAGCTGAGCAAACAAATAATTGTTTTTAGGTGGTTATCTTGTTAAATTTTGAAGAAATGGACAGCAAGTCGCCCTCTGCGCGTTCATGTTTCTGCATGTCGGCTTTTGAAAATGCAGCTGATTTGACCGTTAAAGTGAATTTATTAAGTAAAAGTTCAACTGAGACACATCTTTACTATAATTTTGAGCAAACAAATGATTTTAGGTGTTTATCTTGTTAAATTCTTGTTAAAGTCCTCCCGTGGCCGCCATTTAGCAGCCAATTGATTGTTGGCACAACACCGGCCCACACCAATGCAGATATCTTCCTGTTTTTAGTTTTCTACACCAACAGGCCAATCTAGCTGTTTTTTCACTACTTTTCCTTTTAGTTATCATTTTACTTTCACTTGTTAAAATAAATAAATAAATGTGTATGCATCCTTTATGATTGTCTAATGTTGTTCACCGTCGTCATCACTCTGTTAAAATCAGGTCTCTCTTGTGAATGAGTCCCCGAGGCTCAATGGGATTAACTTGTACGAATAAAGGTTGAATGAATGAACATTTACAGGTTGTCAGCGGTGACGCGTAATAGATGTGACGCATTTATGTATTTTTCAACTTTATTAGACATATTTGAACTGATGCGACTTATGGGGCGGAGAAACGTTTACGATGGAAAATACGTTATTTGCGTCTTGGCAAAGGGAAAAGCAGAAAAAAATAATAATTCCCTGGCACATTTTTAGAGGGCTGCTTTGAAATGTATTAAAACAGCTGCTTGTGTCCTCACTAGTCTATTTAACTAATAAACACAACTTTAACCTGAAGAGCGTTGTAAGAGTCAACGCAACAGTTGAAACGTTTGACGACAGATTTTGAGGCAGTTGAAGTTGTTCACTGAAACGTATTTAGGATTTAAAAAATAATAACGACAGTTTTGAGTGGTTTACGTTGTTCCCCAAAAGAAAACAAAAGTATTTGTAATATGTTCTTCAAATTATAATCAGTTCATCAACAATAACTGACTCTAGTTCAGCGTCTTGTTGTGATTTTTGATGAGGTTATAGTTTGTGTTGTAAACGCTCCGAACAAAAAGGCAGACCAGCTTCATTTTCTTGAAGGAATGAGTATCGCCTCCCGCCTTGCAGGCCAAGGTTTAAAATTTAAAAAGAAATCACTATCTGTTGGTGCTAGGTTTACGTGTTGAAGGCCTTCGTCCTGCTAACGTCGCAGAAAGATTTTTAACACAAAAATTGTGCCATTCTATATAACCCCTCCCCAAAAATTGTAAACATAAGCCTAAGCTTGGAGGTACCTCCAGCTCCTCCTGCTTCCTCAGGTCAATGTCACAGTTTGTGGGCAGACCCAGCTTTGTAGCCAGCTGACCAAACGGACTGGACTCCTTCAGTCCTCCGTCTTGTGCCTCGCTCTGATTGGCCGTCTTGATGAGCCCTGCAGACAAATGTTAGCAGACAAATAATGAATCCCAGGAGCAACAAAACTGCATGAACATTGTGCGTCATCGCCCCCTGTGACCCAGTGAACAGGACAGATGCATCAAACAACCCTCGGACAGAAAGAAGTTCAGAGAAAATGTAGACTGAACCTAAATCCATCCATTATCTTTTACCCGCTTCTTCCATTTTGGGTCACGGGGGTCGCCGGTGCCCATGTCCAGCAATAAAACTGTGTGAGGAGCGGGGGACACCCTGGACGGGTCTCCAGTCCGTCACAGGGACACATAGAGACGAACGAGACAAACATCCATTCACTCTCTCACTCACACCTAGGGACAATTTAGAGTTACCAATCAGTCTAACATGCATGTTTTTGGTCTGTGGGAGGAAACTGGAGCACCCGGAGAAAACCCACGCATGCACGGAGTGTGTGTGTATATATATATATATATATATATATATATATATATATATATATATATATATCAGTGTAATATACATATACACATGTGTTTTAGTTACAGCGTATTCTGGTAGTAAGTTTTTGCATCTCGTCACCTTTCAGCTGCAAAACAAATTTGTCCGTAAGTTCAGATCCACCATTCCTTAAATCAACATCCTTCAGACCCAACGAGCCGATCAAAGATGTAAAAGAGAAACGAGACGAGGGGACTTTGTTTCCTGCAACTAGACGTTAAAACAGAGAAAACATGAAACAAGAGTCTGGACGCAGAAGAAAAGCTGCAGATTCAACGTTCGTGTCTTCACCTGGAATCTTGTCGTGTTTTCCCGTTTCCTGAGATGCTTTGAAGTATTTCAGAGCTCTTTTTGCAGTTTCCTGTTCCAGCTTTCTCTTCCTCTCTGGTGCCTTCAGCCCCTCTCCTTCCTCCCTCCTCACCTCGATTTCTGCGTTCCTCTTACAGGTGCAGACGAGGTCCAACAGCTGCTGCATCTGAAAACAAAAACAAGATAAACAGTAATTAAAACGAACAGCAAGAGGGAAACAATCGCTGACTGCTGAACGACTGCTGAACGACTGCTGAACGACTGCTGAACGACTGCTGAACGACTGCTGAAACCGTGTTGGTAAAACTGAAACAATCAGTAGCTGAAATGAGGAAAAGGACAGCTGCACAGATTAGAAGCTAAAAGTAACATAACACTAGCTAAAAAGTTAAATTAGTAGCAGGCTGGCTAAAATCAGAAAAAAGCTAAAGAAATAAGCTAAAAGTAGCATAAGGATAGCTTAAAACTGAAAGGGAAAAGAAGCAGGTTAGTAGCTAAAAGCTAAAACAAGCATTTTTATTTATTTTTCCTTTCGGCTGCTCCATTCCTCAGGGGTCGCAACAAACTAACTGATGCTCGTCCTGATGCAACCACAGACCACTGAGCTACCCCAGCCCTCTCTGTGGAGCAGAGAGCTGCCATCTACGGCGCCGGGGGAACAGATGATGGGGGTTAAGGGCCTTGCTCAAGGGCCAAGAGTGGGGCGAATGAGGGTGGAGGCAGGTGTGGGTGCTTCACCTTTCCCATCCACATTTTTGACGTTGTCGGTCCGGGAAATTGAACCAGCGACCTTCTGATCACAGGCTCACCTTATCTAACCTCTGTGCCACCACTCCCCACCCCAACAGCTAAAACAAGCAGTACACTAGCTAAACGAAGTGAAACCATAGCTAAAAGTCACAAATACAAAAAAAAAAAAAAAAAAAAAAAAGCTAAATATATCAAATTGCTATGAAGTAGCAACACAGTAGCTAAAAAGATGAACTTCATCTTTGTCTTTTTCCTGCAGCTGCATTTCTAACATCCTTCTACCAGTATAACCACTGTCCCTCCTCTGGACATGTCCAAACCACTGTCCTTCCTCT